GTTATTCTTAAACACTCAAGAATACCTACATTCATAGTTATTATAATTTGATGAGCTATGATTTGATGCGAACGTGATTAGACTGAATAATGAAAATCTTTTTCCTCTAATATAAATCCCGGTAAAAAAAAATAACTGTCAATGTCAAACGTGTACAATGTACATATAAAAATATATCACCATATTACAAAAGCGGAAAATTTTACGTTATTATTTTCAAAACAAATTCTAATGATGGATTCATATAACGTTTCTTTACTCGCACACTCAAGATGGATGCCCTGTTAATCAAGATTCGTTCTAACGGTAGACTTATAATTTATCTCCTGCAGTCTGTACGTACGCCAGCAAAAAGGTTTCACATAAAACAATACAACATGCAGCATAAATTCTGCACACTTTTAAAACAAGGAGCACACGAAAGCCACCTAATTATGTTAAAGTGTGATCGGGCATAAAGTCGCTTAAGTTAAACGTTCTCGTCTTAATATTCACTAGATACGCTGAACGTGATTTGTGTTTGCTTTTTTATGGGTATTTCGGTATGTAATACTAACTATCAGCGCGTCAGTCGGTGCATTTATCTCGATGAACTTACTATAGTTGAGACGTGCTGTAAATTCCAAGTGTGCAATTAAGGGGCAGGATCATTATTTTTAGTCGCTGTTTTTTTTTTTTGTTCAGACGAGTCGCGGTGGTGGATGTATGGTGCGGATTCATTAAAGACTTTAAGTTCATTCATTCTAGTTCATTTTGTATGAAACAATAGTGACGCTAATTTGAAAATAGATTTAGTGATGCATGTCATTCTTATTTTTGACATTAGCATTATAAAGTTGACATCAATGTCATTACGTGTTACGCTTGTTGCTATAAATAGTTCTGAAATAAAAGATAAACCTATAATCCTTTTATAGTAAAAAAGTAACAAAATATTTAACCTTACAAAACATACTTTATTGTGATCGCTTATTAATTATTAAGAAAATCTATATATATTAATTTCAAAATAGACTAAAGATTGCAAATTTAAAATACAAACGTAAATATAAAAAAAGCATCAAATAAATTAAACAAAATTATTAATATTAAACTAAACAAACTATTTAATAATAATAATTATATATTATTGCGTACATGTAATATGTGGTGTCATGTTTGTATTATATCTTGCATCGGTCATTACCGAGTAGCGGTAACACAGGCGCCATCTTTACATCCCATCAGAACAGGCTTAACTGGTGTAATAATTATACTCTTATAACATTCGTGTCTCAACGAAGTTTTTATACGTGCTCCTTTATAATCTATTTTATATTTATAGGGACTAATATCATATTTATTTTACGATATAATAAATTTTATTTTAATACCTATGTACTGAGATTTGAATATTTTTATACTCACTAAAAGCATTCGTTGGGTTTAAGTAATGATACTTATTTGGTTCCCAAAATATTTGAACATAGAAGTTGTTATAATATTTTATTTATTCTATATCAAGGATTAAAAATTTTTTTGGTAATTAATTTTAAACGTATGATTTTCTTAGAAATTTTTCTTTACCGTATTTCTATGCATCTATGCAAAAATAAATTGTGACCGTATTTTGTTACTAATGTATTACTAGTTTTTTTAATATTTCATATATTATAAGCAAGTCATTATTAATGATAACTTTTTTTCTATTTCTAGTTTCCAACGCCTGTCCTGCCGCGAACAGCAAATGCGACGTCAAATGGAAACCCGCCATTATCAAACGTCAATGTCAAGTAACGTACTTTTTAATTAAACCTTTTTAGTAAAATTATGGATTAATTTTACTACTATGTATTTATTACTATTGTTACCAAAATTAAATAATATTGTTGGCACTTTTATATGAAATATGACGATCATAATAGTTGTATGTTAACGCATAGTGTGATAAAAAATGTTTAAGGCGTTTTTATTATTACCACATTTCAAATTAAAACCATGTTTGATTTTAAATTTAGAATCTTTTCCTTTATTTTTTTAGTTCATGCAAGAAGCCTGGGACTCTACCCGATTGCGCCGATCTCTCGAAAGCAGCTAGAACATTACTGATGCGTTTACTGGAAACAGACCCCAGACATCGAATGAGAAGCCTGAGAACGCTTCAACAATCAGCATTTTATATGAATTTCAATTTCGAACACATTAAATCAAAAAAGGTTTGTGTAAAAAGGTTTTATTGACAATATAATATAATCTTAATAATAAATTGATATCATTTTCACAGATAGCACCTAAACATGTTCTGGAACAAAACATGCCGTTTTTATTGGTTGAGGACAATAAAAACAAATTTATAGGATTCGATCAGCCGTAATATAGTATAATCGTTAATATAGAGATTACATCTCGGCCGCCATTATAGGGTATAAGAAGAAAACCATAATTAGATATGGAAACTAGTTGGACGTAAATAGAACGGACCTGTTCCAGGAATGCTGTAGCTGATTACGACGGTCAAACCTATTCTCAACGTAATATCGATCGCTCTTAAAAAAACTGTTTATTCTATAAAGAGCTGTTTCAACTTTCATGTCATTTAAGTACTATTCTCTATGTTTTTTTTTTATTTCTGTCTCCAAGGTCTAAATCTGAACCGCCAAATAATATTTTGTATTTACCATAGAAACTCATTAAAGATAATATACTTTTTAAAAAATGCGTTTTATTTATTGGAACATTTTTAAATATATGGTGTTACCATCTTAGGTATCCAATTATATTCAGACAAAAGAAGGCTCTGCACTAGATTCTAATATTTAGGAAATTATTTTTTCTATAAAATTTTAAATAATTTTCTTATCAATAACTTAGATTGAAGATTGTTTAGATTCTATGTAGTCAGATTTATTTTTGCATTTTATTTTTCAATAATTGGTTAAATTAAATAGTAATGATTGATGAAGATATTGCCTGCCGATGATTTTTTTTTTCTTAATTTTATATTATGAATCATCAATAAACTTTTCATATAAAACTATTTTAACTTATTTCGATAACATTGATATTTTCGCTGCTTTGAGATGCTTTATACAATTTTTTTCTTAATATTACCTCGTTTGGTATATATATAAATAGTGAGCCAACTATAATAATTTTACTCCTCTTTATATAATGTCAACTAATATTTTCTTTTCAACGTAATATGGACACATTAAACCCAAGCTTTACTTTTACCTGTCTCAAACACTTCGTTACAATTTTTTTGCGTTGATCAAGACCAGTCGGGGTACTTACTATGTATGTATATCAAAGGAGGTTTTATACATTGTTATTTGCATCCACAACGATGGTTACTATAGAAGATTTACTTGTTTTTTCATACTTTTTGGATCGATATTCTTAAGATGAGTATAATCTAGTCTCATTGTTTGAATTTTACGTTATGGGCCTTGTTTTGGAGTAATAAATTTGGTATATCCAAATTAATAATTTAAATTGTTGTTTGTGGAACGTGACAAAAGATATCCAGAAAAATCGTTGTTGTTTTAGGCGCTATAAGGTACATTAAATATATATTTGGGCACCACATAATAGAATTGTCATATTGTGATATATAAAGGTAACATTCCTTGACAAAAAGCTGCTGATATAAACTTAGAACTGATTATGTCTGTCATACATTGGAAATATGCAGAGGGACTTCTGGCATCGATGCAAGGCTTGAAGAACACGCCTTGGCTAATAAAAATAGGTATGCGTCGAAATTAGTAAGTACTTCAAAACACAGAGTAAACAAGTTAAGCCATCAGATAAACCACAGAATGTCATTAGTAGAGACAAGTATGGTATACCGTGACTTATTTTCCGAGGCTATTGAAATTAACATGAAAGTAGGTACAGCTGGCAATTATCTCATACAAAAAAAGAAACAATTTCTCATCAAGATTCTGTTATTTTCCAAAAAAAATTATTGCTAAGATCGTTAAATCAACGATTGACATCTGAAGTCTGTTATATCTGTCACACAAATTCAGAACGTTTTCTCATTCATCAATGATTAATAAAATGTTCTATTATTATAAGATGATGTATTAGTTTTATTAGAGACAAAGAGGCGGTTAAGAGATAGTCTAAAAATATATGTCCATTTCGCCATAATAAATCATATAGTAGAGTAAATCTAAAACCTTAGCCTCGTGAAATAAATTGTTCTTTATCGTAAATATTCTCATAATTGAACATTGAATTTCTTTAATATATAGTGAAAGTTGCCACATTTCTTCTCTTAATTTTGTTTTTTTTTTTTATTTTTATGTAGGACCTTTTAAAATATTTTAATTTTACTTAATTAAATAGGGAAGAAGATTTTTTTATATGACCCAAATTGGCAAAGGAATTGACGGCCTCCTTGATGAGAAGTAGACCCTTTCGCCCATGGACATCTGCAACATAAGGGACGTTGGAAATGTGTTGCTGACCTTGTTTGTTTTTGAATTAGGAAACATTAAGATACTACATACAAATACTCAGTTCATTCAACAAACTTAAGTTCATAAACAGGGAGTATCTTAAGAAATAAAGAATTAACTTTAATTTATAAGCCAAAAATAGTAACCAAATTCACTTGACATCTGTCAAAAAACTTGAAAAAATAACTTCATCTTCTTTTAATAAATTGAGAAATTTATGAAAGCCATTATTTATTTTTGAAAAATAGGAACATATTATTGGAAATAATAAAGGTAAGATAAATGTGTATTAATATTTGTTATCATAAAAATATCTCTTACTTTTGTAAATTTATTTATGGCTGATGATGGTATTCCTAATTTAAAATAATTTTAATATAAAATAAGGAGCAAAAATCATTTAGTTTATGGATTGTATCCAAATCCATAAACAAAATATGGTTTTCACAAACGTCAAAAAAATTAAATCAATAGTTTTGGCTTTCAAGTCTGATTTAACATTGACAGACGATAGCAATAGCAAAGAATAGTCGAAAATTTCTGAGTACAAAAATGGCTTCGTTTTTGAATAGAGCCGCCCAACAATATATGAAGAACAATGTTCGCCTCGCGTCTCACGCTGCTACCGCTGGAGGCCATGGAGGTAAGGGTTTAAATTTTTAATTTCCATTATGTAATCTTATAACCTAAAGGAAATCTTATCTGTTTGCTACTTATTTGGTATCTAGGTGGCTGGCAGTTGTGGAAGAGGCTGTCTATGTTCGTAGCAGTACCTGCTATTGGATTGGGTATGCTGAACGCGTATCTCTCTCACCAAGAAGAGCATCACGAAAGGCCTCCATTTGTGGCTTACGAATACCTTCGTGTACGCACAAAGGTATAACATTGACTATGTATCAAGTAATAAATCTCACTATTTTTCTAATATTAACATGAAACAAAGCTAAAAACTCATAATATTCTTGTTAAAAATATATATCCTGTTTAACTACATATTTTGTTTATAACAATATAAACTCACAAACAGGGGTCAATATGAAATTCTGTCTTTTTCAATAGCAATTGGGCATTACTAGCCTTTTTTAATACATAGGAAAGTCATAACAATGTTACTATGTTTGAATTTTGTCGGAATAATCTCATTCTTTAATAATGAGGATTCAATTACTATTTTGAAGATTATGAAACCCTATTTATAACTGTGGTAATAAACAATCTTTGGATAATTCATATTGTATGTTAAAGTTCTTATCTCTTAATTTTTATATAATTTAAGGCTTAGTTCTCATATATCGATTGTGTGAATTAACAATGATATATTTTCAGCGTTTCCCATGGGGTGAGGGCCAGAAGACCCTGTTCCACAACCCCCATGTCAATGCTCTCCCCAGCGGCTATGAAGATGAGCATTAATTGATTTATCAGCTTGTTAGTTCTGCCTCTGTTCTTAGAAACAAAATCGTGATAAGTATGTTTATTAATTGTAAAAATAAAAAATGTTAACATAGACTTATTTGTTTCTTTTATGACTGTAATGCTTATTATTCCTTTTATAATTGTCTATTATAATACATGCAAATATAAAATTAATTACATGTTTTTCTAAGGATAGGAGATTAGTTTTGATTTTATAAAAAACCCCTTTTATTAGCTATACTCAAACAAAATTGAAATGTGAAATTTTTTATGAAAAGCTTTTCACTACATGCGTATGAAAGTATTGAGGATAACTAGACAGATACGAACTACTTAAGGGATTTTTGAGATATTAATAGAAACTTGTTGTACACCAGAGTGTTACGCGGGCAAAGCCGTAGACAATAGTAAGTATTTTAAATATAGAGAATTACTTACTAAAAAAGTAATATAGTTTAATAGTCTATACAGAAAATGAAATTTTTGATTGAATCAATCCAAAATTCAAACAAAGGGTTTTTGTTTTCCAATAAAATTAGTTGAAGAACGAAACGTCCAATCACGTTTGACGTATGATGCGTTGATCGACATTGTATATGTCAAGTGACGCAGCTAATACATTTGTCATTTAGGACTAAAAGTTGCGACGTTGTTTTGAAATCGATTTTATAATATAATATCGTAATATATACTTCACGTGATTTGTTTCTAATTAAAATAATATTGTGAATTGGTTAGAATGAAATTATAATAATTCACATTTTCTTAAAACGGGAGAGAGGATAAAAATTGAAGAAATCAAAAATGTCGGTCTCTGTAAAGGATTTTAATAAAACCTGGTGGTCAGAAGTGTATAATCGTATTATCGGGGCGGTGGTATTCTTGGATGATCACAGCGCTGAATGCTTGCATTGGGATGGTGGACTTTTCAATCTCATTAACGGTGGAGCAGTTGCCGTCAAAACTTTGTCGCCTTTTGAGGTACATATATAATATAAACTATAACTAGTCGTATCTTGTTTAGTATTTCATGACGGGGAAATTAAATATTGCTATTTGTTCTAGCATACAAAGAAAGAGCACAAAAAAGTAGTTTTCATTACTCAAGCAACGAGCATACAACTGAAGACTATTCGAGAGATAACTCGTAATGGTGACTTCACTCATTGCATCCTTATTTCAACTGTGAGCCTGGACATTGTGTTTTTGGAACTGAACGAAGGGAGAGATGTTAGCGATATTGTATCTTCGGGTCGGGCTCCGGGCGAAGCCACTAAGTATTTGGAGAATATGCTCAATGAATGCTGTGGGAAGAAGGTATTAAATCAATATTAAAATAAATTAAAAAATTGTCAAAACAAGCAATACATTATTGTATTTTTTGCAGCAATGTGTTATAGAAGTGGTATTTGTACCGATATTTGCTGTGGCACCAACAAATGTAGTCTTTCTCACACCTCCATATCACCAAGTATATCCTATGTTCGATGAGAAGTTAGTACCGGATACTCCGTCTGTAGATCTATACACACTTACAAATGAACAACGCTCGATGGTAAGGAGACTGACGAGCAGTTTAAACAGTCTGTTGGACTCAATGAATATGAAAGACGATGTTTATTATATGGGAACATATAGCACACTGATTGCTGGTATTTTGGAGAATTCACCAATCTGTGTATCTAGACGGAAGGTGAGTATAACTCAAAAACAATATATTACAGATTATTTTATATTTAAACATAGTTCTAGTTAGAACCACATAAAATCAGTTTAACCCTTTAACGGTCATAAGGTGTGGACAGTGGAAAAACAAAATTGTTGATGGTTAAGGGTATATAAAAGAAGTAAAAACATATGTATATATAAATATATATTTGTCAATCCTTTCATTGTCAAACTGTATATTGACAATCATAAAATTTGCTTGAATAAAATATGACCAATGGACGAAATATCGGTTTAAAAAAATTAAAATCATGGTGGTGAAAGTATCACCTCTAACTTATAAAGAGTTTAAAGAATTTTCGCCATTTTCAGACATGTTCAAACCCAACCTCCTTAATCATTGTTGATCGTACTTTAGACCTGTGTGGTGTGACAACACATTCTACTGAGTCTGTTCTCGATAAAATGATGGCTGTCCTGCCAAGATTTCCAGGACATTCAAATGAAGTGGCCGTTGATATGTCAGCTTTGTGTGAAGCTAATGTGTAAGTAGGCAAAGATGTTATTCAGTAACCAATATATATATTACACGAATTCAGCTCTAATCAATTGAAAGTATGTGTTAATGTTCATAATATTTATGTTATCAATAAAAACATTAAAAATAAATCTTCCTGGTTATGTGTCATGCACTATGTGCTAATGACTTCATATATTTTATAATACATAGTAACTGTTGTGGGTAGACGGTTTACTTTTTAACAGCCAGGGGACTGTTAACTTTGTTACCAAATGTAGAAAATTATAACCAACAGAAAGTAATGGGTCTTATGTTGAGTTAAGGCTAAGTTCTCAAAATTAATGTATAACATTACAGGGAACAGTTGTTATAGTCACAATATTGTTAAGTACAAGTAATACAAGCATAGTAAATGTATTATCTGTAGTTAGAACCATTAAAAGTGTTAACAATAGCATAAAATAGCAAATATATATATAATGAAATACTAGATTTCCGCACGCAGCTTCGCCCGCGTGGAGCTCGGTTATATCGCGCTTCCAAGAAAACCTTTCAAAAGTCTGGGATTAAAATTATTCTGTATTCTTTCTCAAGGTCAACTCTATCTCTGTACCAAATTTCATTAAAATCAGTTCAGTGGTTTAGGCGTGAAAGCGTAACAAACAGACAGACAGACAGAGTTACTTTCGCATTTATAATATTAGTAGAGATGTATGTATGTACTGCATTTGTCTTCAGAATCTGCCATCCTGACGACATTCAATTAAGTCCGGGTTGTGTATATCACGCAAATGATGATGTGTGTCTCCAAACGTACGACCATATGATAAATAAGTCCCAGAAGGAAGTTATGTTCGATATATACAATAAATTATCCAAAATCGATGTCCAAAAGTCACCCGGACCTAAAACACTATTGAAAGTCACACCGCAAAGTGTTGAGAAGATTGTTAATGCTTCTAAAGGTGAGAATGCTGTTATGAACAAAAATTGTTTGTTGTAAGTTAATGAATAAAATTTTATTTATTCCTTTTCGATTTTCTCTCACATTTTTCATGTAAATGATAAACTATTGTGTGGTCAAAATTTTGCTACATATTGATAATGTTTTACTGCCATTGATCTAAGCCTGTGAAGTTTGATATCTCGATTTAAATCACTAGTTCTTGATATTAGTGTATTCAATTAAGCAAACAAATATACTAGTAATTTAGAAAATAATTATTAGCAATAAAAATTCATCAAGTGGTATATAATTTCAGGTAATTATGAAATAATAGGCAGCAATCTCGGCATACTTCAACAAGCATTAGGTGTGGTACAGACATTGAAATCACCGAAAAGGGTTCAGTATGAGCTACTCATGAGTTTGGAAAAACAGGTGTTACAGAACTTAGCAGCTAGTAGGGATTCCACTAGTGTCTTACTCCAGGTAAATGAATATAGGATTACTAATAAATAAGTTCTTATATGAAGGCTTCAAAATTAAAAACATTTCAACAATTGTAGATCCTACAATATAGTTTTAAAAAGTTTGTGTCAATTAGAACCTCTTGTACTTTACAAAAACAAAATTAGTATTTGTGAGTTTCAATATGACCAGTTCTATGTTACATAATTATTTGATTTTTAATATTTTCAAGTCATATTATGAGAAACAAAATATATAATTGATGTTTGTATACATAATTATTGTGAATTTTATGTATTAATTTGTTATAAATAAGAATTATATACAGAGATATGTAAATATTCATACTCTAATTATACTTGAAAACTATTATACTATTATAACTATTATACTATTATACTTGAAAATATCACTATTTACAGATGGGTCATTTGATTAAGACAAGGAAAGACCGTGATTTACCATTGGAAAGTCTTCTGGCACTTCTTATAAATGTTTATTCACTGATGGGAACTGAGGTGGCATTCAATAAAAATCACGAAGAAAGCCTACAAGAAGCTCTCAGTGTTGCCATATTTGAGGACCACAAAAACATCTTAGACACTGTTACGATTGGCGACATTGTAATGCCAGAAGAATGCGAGGCGATGGCCAAAGTGATTATGGCCAGGTTGAAAGAAATATCGCAAATGAGAAAAACGTTACATAAGTAAGTAGTTTTATTCATTACCAAGAGAACCTTTCAAAAGTCTGGGATAAAAACTATCCTACGTTCTTTCTCAAGGTCAACTCTATCTCTGTACCAAATTTAATTAAAATCAGTTCACTGGTTTAGGCGTGAAAGCGTAATAGACAGACAGACAGGGTTACTTTCGCATTTATAATATTAGTAGGGATGAATAGATAAGTATCTAGATGTGATTTACAAATTACGAGAGGACAACCATAAATTAAATTATGTACTGTCTGTTCATACATTTACATTAATACATCGTATTCATTATTAATACATATAACAATCATGGATCAAAATCACATTCGTAATTTTTGGAAAAGGTGCAACAATATATCTATATATATAAAAGAAAGTCGTGTTAGTTACTTAGTTACTTATAACTCAAGAACATCTGAACCATTTTAGCTGAAAATTGGCAGGGAGGTAGTTTAGAGCCAGAAATGGCAATAGGATACTTTTTATCCCGTTCCACAGCATTCCCGTGGGACTTGACATTAAACTGTATCGTGTATCGTGTTAACTGCAAACTGTATCGTGTTAACTGCAAACTGTATCGTGCAAACTGCAAACTGTATCGTGTATCGTGTAAACTGCAAACTGTACCGTGTATCGTGTAAACTGCAAACTGTATCGTGTAAATTACAAACTGTATCGTGTATCGTGTAAACTGCAAACTGTATCGTGTAAATTGCAAACTGTATCGTGTAAACTGCAAACTGTATCGTGTATCGTGTAAACTGTAAACTGTATCGTGTATCGTGTAAACTGCAAACTATATCGTGTATCGTGTAAACTGCAAACTGTATAGTATATACTACTGCAGTAGATATACTTCGTACAAAAAGCTTCTAAAGAAGAGAAAGCTTGAAATATTACATCATCATTAAAAAAAAGTGCGCAAATTCATATACACAAAATGAATATTACATTTGAAAAACTGATAGGAATTATTTGTACATTTTAAAAATCTACTTTATTTTCTAACATTAAAAACTATTTTAATATCCAGAGTCTCAATGTTTAAGTTTTCATAATATATATATTTTCATTTAAAAAAAGTCTCATCCAAATGACCAATAAATTCAATTGCCATTATGATTTTTCTTTTTTAACTAGGATTTTTTAAATAACCATTTCAAGTCTCTTCTACCTGGCAATTGTCCAGCTTTAGCCAGGGTCTGCCTTAGATGTTGTGAACAGTTTTGGTTAATTGTTTTTACAACCAGCCGCCTGCCTGACATCAACCCTCTTTGAGAATAGATAACCATTCCAAGTAAATGTTGTAATTATACCTTATAGTAATTAACTAACCAAATTACCGATTCAATATTACCGATTTGTCCGCAATTTTAATGGAACTTATTTATTTTAGAGTTGAACGAGGAAAAGTGTTCAAGTTAAAAAAATACCAATTTAAAAGTAGATCGTGAAAATAATATTAGTTTTAAAATTATATTTTAAAATAAAACTTCATTTTATCATAATTCTATACTTATATTTATATTATATTGTTTAAAGAATATCACTTTTTATATGTTTGTATATAGTCTTAAAATATATCAATAATAATTTATTCCTTATTAAATTTATTTAATCTGAACTATTTACATTAATATCTTATTATCCCTATATTTGAAAGTGAATTAGAAGAAAAACTGTTGCAATAGCACAGAATTTTATTAATAAATCAATAAATTGGTCTCAATTATAAGAACATGAATCCTAAACTATTTGAATTTGAATTTTTTGTTTCCATGTAAGTGACTTTGTGTCTTTTTTGGAAAATAAAGATCTCTAAACCTAACCTAAACTACAATATAATTCTAGGTTCACTTCAGTACTTCGTCCATGCGAAAGTGGTTCAGGTCATGAATACTCCGGGGTTCTGCAACAGCTGGTTGAGGCTTTGGTTGACTCGGAGAGACCTGAGTTGAGTGACCTGCGGCATAGACATGATGGTATTAAAGATCTATTGAGGAGTGGACTTAAGTAAGTTAAATGGAAGTTTATTTCAATATCAATAGAAAGTATTATGCAATGGTTACGATTTTTCATTTAATATATATATATAAAATATATCAAAATTGTACAGCTCAATAAATTTTCATAATAAGGAAATATTTATTAGTTTATTGCTAAATATGCATGGAAGAAAAATTTAGTTTTTAAACTATTATTCATTGATTCGCCTTTCTTTCTATTAAGTGTAGGAACATATGCATAACCTATCCTTCTGAGTGCTAGAGTGTGTAACATATTCACATAAAAACGTAACTGACATATAATTATATATTTACAATTTTTTGAACCAAATCTGTTTCATCAGCGTTTACATTTTTATATATTCCACTAGCTTTCCGCCCGCAGCTTCGCCGCGTGGAGTTCGGTTATATCGCGTTTCCAAGAGAACCTTTCAAAAGTCTGGGATAAAAACTATCCTATGTTCTTTCTCAAGGTCAACTCTATCTCTGTACCGAATTTCATTAAAATCAGTTCAGTGGTTTAGGCGTGAAAGCGTAGCAGACAGACAGACAGACAGAGTTACTTTCGCATTTATAATATTAGTAGGGATTGTACACGAGCTGTGACATTCTGATTAATATATATTTAAAAAAATATTATATGTTTGAAAGTACTAATTTTATATTACAAAAATTCCCAGCATACTGACAAGTAAGAAGAAACAGATAAAGCATCCATTGGACAATTCTACGGTCATAATATTTGTGGTGGGAGGCATCACAGCCGAGGAATGCAAACAGCTACACAGAACTGTGATAACGAGCGGTGTTGATAATAACTTCTTGATTGGTTCCACCAAATTCGTGACCCCCATTGAAGCTATGAGAGATGTACTGAATTTGTGATATTTCCAGGTATTTATAAATTATATCATAACATTAAATCAAAATCAATATATATCATGGATAGTACAAATCCGCGTAACTACCATTGGATAATTCCGCCAATCTACGTTTGAAGCAGATTATTATAAGAAAGATTGAACTGAAATATTTTCTATATAAAGGACTTTTAAGGTAATTTTTTCACAATTAGTAATTATTTAATGTTTGATTTATTATTAATTGTGAAAAAATTACCTTAAAAATAGTTCACTTAGAAAATATTTCACCTTAAATTGTCTTATGATTATCTGCTTGCGATGCAGATACTCGGAATTATCTAATGCTAGTTATGCGGTTTTGCACTATCACCAGCGATATATATAATATTTATAGTAGAATTCATTAACACAATTTTTTTTATCATATTGCTGTATTTAACTGAGTTTTTTGTCCTATAAATATAACTTAGTTATGTATATGTGTAAAAATAAATTTTTAATTATTTATATTAAAAATATACGTACACTTAATTAAAAATATACTAACTAAATAAGTTACATATTAACAACTAATTATTCCATTTGTTATTCCAGGAATTGATATTTGGAGTCGACTACACATTAATGTGAAGTGACTTCAAGTTAGACTTTCATGTACTTTGAAAGTGATTTTTTAAGTGTTACAAAACAAGCAGTGCAATTCTGTGAAAACTATCAGTCATGTGTGCTAACTAGTCAAGTAGACCTACAAAGTTATGAACTATCTTACAAAACTAAACGAAAAGTGTACTTTTAATAGATCATGAACATTGGTTAACAAACCATTTCTTTACATTATGTATGTATCCATTGTAATTAAATTTGAGAAATACATTCCTGTACACGAGCAGTACAATGTTTGTATAAAATTATACACATCTGAGATCATAAAGATTAAAGTTTGAAATTAAATCTAACTATCTTCATAATAGTTGTCATACATGTATATTAAATAACTAATAAGTTTTAAAATGTAATTTAAATTTAATGTATGATAAAGAAATATTGATCTTGTTTTTTAAAGATAAATTTATTGTTAATCTTGTTATAAGATAAATTTTTGTTATTTTTCATCACACTGTTAAATTTATAAGATTTCAAAATGTATCTCCCAGTTATGCAATCTAAAAATAGCTTTTTTCTTTAATATTTCATATATAATTAAATATTGAAACTTAATTTATTGTTAGAATCTAGAATTGTATAACTTATATTTTATAATGTACATACATATATCTTCTTCTTCTCTTACATAATATAATGACTCAATGTAATATATCCAATGTTTGTAATAAAATAAATTAATATTTATGTGCAATGCAATTACAATGCAAGTGAATAAAAATGAACTTTTTTTTGTTATTTAGTTTCATAGTTATTGTAAATAAGGTTTAAATTATTGTTATTTATGTAATAAATTATCTTAACTTAAAATTGTACATTTCTCAGATGGGTAAAAGGATTAAGGTGGGAAATATGTATGTAATATTCTTTATCATTTTCATTAAATTAAATTTATTAATTCTCACTTCATATAACATGAAATAATATTCAAATCCTGGATGTGTACATATTGAATAATATTTGATCTCTTTTATCATTTTATCGATACTATCTAAATATAATTTCAGAATTTGTTAAGAAGTGTGTTTATCATGCTATGGCGTCATTTGCACTGGAATCATGGAATATTTTCCAAATGTCAACATTGTTTGTTGGACCAATTCTAATCTTAATAGTATTTGGAGGAAACAGTAATGAGTTTATCAAATGGAACACTGTTTATACCTGTGTAATGTGTATAGTCTCTGTAAACTATTGACATATACCTATTCTTTATTTCTGCCAACCTACATTCTTTGATAGCACCGACATCTGAAATCTGTGTACTGTTTATTTGATAAAAAAAATTGAGAATCTATCTATTGTGAGTTATAAGTAATAAATATATCTGAACTAATTCTCTGATGAACAAAGTTTGGTGTTGACAAATTTTATGAAAAACATTGTTTTAATCAAATGCAATTAAATAAGATATTTTTATTTTTTACCCATACTTACTAAGTAAGATACTTTTACTAGTTTTAAATAGTTTTGATGCATTAGCTAAAATCCTGCTCTACTATGTAAAGATGTCGTCCTATTGAAGATGACATAAATAATAATTAATGTCTTCCTGTTAATAAATTGAATTAATATAAAGATTTACTTTTAAAGATTTCAATAGTGAATTAATAAAAATAAGTAATTTTCATTATGGTAACTTATTGGAGTGCTGGAGAAATCCTTTGGCTTCACGAAGTAAATAATGTTATAATAGATTACTCTATATATTATTCTAGCAAATGCTTAAAAATCAGTATGAAAATAAATTATTACTCGGTGATCAAATTGGTTTCATTATAAAAAAAGTCTTTACTACATTATCAGATAATTCGTATATCAGGGTACAATTTATTCATACTATACTTTTAACATCTAGCAACATTGCCAACAAAAGTTCCGCTACTCAACACTAGCTGGCGCTACTGGTAACGGATATTAAAACTGTGTTCAGTGTTCAACAGTTTCACGTAATGTTTTAATATCAGCAACAAAGGCGATAGATCGGCTCGCGACCTACTATTCAAGAACAATACCTTGTAAATATCTCATTAATTATAAAAACCTTCTTTTTACCCACAATATTGATACAGCGGTCTCATTACTCATTCAGCTGGTGTAAATAATTTAAATTGTCGTGAAATAATAGTAATAATCATCGTTTAAAATTTCATTATTCAATAGGCAGATGCGAAACTGTCGATTGACCTTTAATATCCGTATTTGGCTTACCGCTAACCGCCATTATTATTTATATTAGATTTCGATGTTTTCATAATTTTTAAATAAGTTTTACATCTTCTAATAGGTAATAATTAATAAATGAAAAGATAATAATTTTGATCTCTTTCCATCTTTGTTATTTAAGCTAACTTTAGTTAAGTCTTAGACATATTTAATAGTGTTTTTAAAGAACTTTTTATATAATAGATATATTGTTTTAAAATTAACAAGATCTATATTTATCGGTAAAGAAATCATTGTTCCTCATTTCGATTAAAATTCAGGCCAGTGTGCGGGTATTAGAATTTTCGGTTTTTGGGTCAAGACTAAACATTTTTAGTAGGAATGTGATTTAAAGGCAGAAGAAATATATTCCCTCGTGTTTTCATCCTACATTTATTTATTTATTGCCTTACGATTGTCAGGAATAAATCGCTTTAAGCGACAAGACCGCCTTTAGTACTAGTACTAGTACTTTTTAATTTTTTTCTTATGTATTCATAAAAAATAACTACTTATATAAATAACACAAACCCTTTCAAACTGCCCATTGATAAAATTTTAAAAACTAAATTAATTTCTTAAAATGTGTAGCAATATATATATATAATTTTAAAAGACGATTCCATCCTAACAATTGTATTCAAATCAATTCTCTATTTGCCTTTAGTATCAAAATCAAAATTTAAGAAGAACAGTTTCATTGACAATGTTTTATCATGAAAAATAATTAATCAAATAAAATACTCTAATATCTGTTATAAACATAATATATATATAATAGAACATAACATTAATTAATTTTTATTTTCAAATATGTGTATGAAATAAAACATGGCGTTCTATCTATATTGAGCGTAAAATAATAACATACAAACATGTAAATTAGATTTGGACGTCATTCTACCTTATTCTGTTTAAAATGTCTCCTCCCTCCAAAAGTCTTTATTTTTAGTGAAAGTTATGAAATGCTTGAAGCATTACTTAAATTAAATATTAGTACAAACAGAAACAGTAAAATTGTATGTATATGTGAAAAAGTCGTATTTCATTTAAACAATCTTCATATTATAATTGATTGACAATTTTATTAGGTTTTCAACTTCATGATTGACCTCTGTGTATTAATATAATATTAAATATACTAGCTATTTCTCAACTGCGCACTAAAATGATACAAGTATGGTTAACTATTTCATCACCCAGTTTATATATTTACACAAAAAAAACATAATTGAATTTCACACAGTAACTGTCCACTTGTCATATTTTTTAAATATTGCAACATTTTAAGATGATATTAAAAAATATAATTTATATGGCAATTTCACTTTTGACAAGAATTTTTAGAATTGTTTTAATTTATATAAATTTTAACAAATAACAAACTCATTAAAACGATATTGTCTTGTTTGATAATAAAAATAAAAGCATTATGACTCATTGTTTTATTTCGTCTTAAACAGCTGATAACACATGTCAGAATAAATGGTGACTAACAGCTGTTATTCATAGAATACCAATAAAAAATTATTGCCAAGAAAAGTTATCATATACTTACAACTATTCTAACCATATATTGCAGTAACCTACAAAATAAAATAATTGTACAAAAGAATGTATATTCTAGAACTTTTAAAATTATCTATCATTTATTTCATAATATCTATAAACAAATTTTACAACATCTTCCCAATCTATAAAATATTAAAAAATGTAAATTAATATTTTCCAGTTTAAATTTAATAATTTGTTTTGAATTCGTAACACCTTATCTCGGAATGTTAATGTAGCTTAACAAAGTTTTTTAATCTGTACTTTACTACGTTTCTGTTTTGAAATATTTTGTAATTCTTGACATCTTTGGCGATAATTTTAGATCATTAAAATAATCATAATCTTCAAACTTTATCAGAAATTATAACTGAACGTGGTTGAAATCACGTTCTACTGATTACTTTTATCACGTTAACTATTTCCATTAAGTTTAACTAGAAAAATATTATGAACTGAAGATATTGTATTAGAATATGCCTACAATGAAGATAATTGTTAGGATTTCAGGAGTCCAATATTGAATGATTTCATGACTTATTATTAAAATGAACAGATTTGTTACAATAAGATTTACTTAAGTACACCTTCATAAATATTTAT